CGTCTGCGCCGAGGACGCTACAGTTGAGTCCCGCGGGTAGGCATTGACTCGATATTTCTTCCTTTCACCCTGCGTTCATTCATCGTCCCGCAATTCATAATTTAAATGTTTAACAGCCTTTCTTACCAAAAGGACACAGCCCCAAAAAAAATCTGATCCCATAAGACACACGTTATCTCCTCAGGATTTAAAACATGACTGCGGCCTCAGAAGTTAACTTTAGCCGTGACATAAATACAGAAGCGCTAATAATTATAAATTATATTAATTAATTTAATAATAATAATAATAATAATATAATAATTATTAATAATAATAAAAGTGATACAAAGTTAAATAATATTCATTAACTTTACAGTGGTACAATTAGGTACAACTGGTTGTACAATTAGGAATGTAATCCTGCTGTTTGCAAGAGTACATTAAAGGTGGACGGCGTAGAGGGGAAAGACCTTAGTTCGCGAGCACTAGAATTAAGAATGACTGCTTAACCGCCGCCTCCATAACCATCGTCTGCAACCGCAAAACATGCGCTTCGTCGTTCAACGTGTTGTCGCCAAGCTTTTGGTTTCGGTAACAGTTCATTAGGGACAATTAATTTAGAATTCATAAAGGGAAATCTTTAAACAATTATTTTCTAAAAATCCAATATTCTGAACCAATTGTTGTCTTTACTTTTTTCCGTTGTAATATAGCAAAGTATGCTTATAAATTTGGCGCCAGGTCCAATTTTCAAAGAGTTCTAATTTCACAAATTGCCAAAAATGAACTAGCAAGGTTCTATTTTTTCTTTAATGAATCAAATTCCACTAATAGAAAAAAACATGAAATATTCACTTATTTGTTTTAGGACCGATGATTGTACGGTGTACACTATAGGCTTGAATTATGGTAACTTACCGTTTGATTAAATGTAAAGCATTTCCAAATTTCAATATCAACACAAAACATTCACAATATTAATAAAAACAATAATAAAAACTAAACAAAAAACTTTGCTCAATCAACAACTGGAGGTAAAACAAATCTAATCTTAACTGTCCATTGAATATATGTACAGTCCTTTCATGTCTCCGAACATACACCTTCTTTGAACATCATCTGTACTCCCGAATTCTCAAATTTTCCAACACATATTCTCTGACGATAATTTAAAACGCTCAGATCTTCTTTGTTTCAACATACACTCCGTCTTGTATTGCGTAAAGGTTTTCAGTTATCTACTAGACTACGAACTATTCTCCATTCAGTAGAACGTTTACTCTCGATCTGCGTGATGATTTTTGCTTTTTCGGTGTATATTGTCCGTCACCATGGTGTCCGACCTTGCCAACTTATCAGACGAAGCACGCCAAAGAACGTGTTATTAATATCAAACATTCGTCACATTTTCAATATTGATGATAGATTTTTTCCCTAGTTGAAAACTGTTCTAAAAATAGTTCATATACAATTGTTTTAAGAAAATAATATCTTCGCTTAATTTTAGCTAGAAGGAAGGAAGTTTTGTTGTTTTTTAAATTCCCCAAAATTATTTCTTTTCTTCTGATAGAGCAAAGGATGAGTGAGTGTGTGCGGTAGTAACACTATTTCATCTAGTCTTAAGTCGCTATAGAGCAGTGCTGTCTCCATGAGCTTTTCCTATTGATTGTAAAACCATACTTGTATTTTGTTATCGAGACAATCAGTTTGATTGTGGAAAGGCTTAATCCGTTTTATGTCTTCTGGATTTGTTCCTTTATCCGTTTTCCCCCTATGAGATGTTTGAAATACGTCCTGTTACTATAGTATGTTCTTTTTATTACTTCAATTAAAAATATTTGACACTCTAATGTGAAGGATTTTCAATAACGCACTTTTAATGTTCCAGTGTTGGGGCGGTGCGTCAACTCCGCCTGTCATGGCTGGCGTTGGTGTTCAGTCTCCTCACCCTGCAGCCTTACCGCTACCAGCAAACCGGCAGCAGTTTGCGGTTCCACCTCCAGCATTTACTCCAGATGTATCTCAGCAGCAGCAGCAGCATTCTGTGGCCCAACCATCTCAACAGCAAACCACTCACATGGTGCGCTTCTCAGGACCTGATGGCAACTCAGGAGGCAATGGAATAGTTGTGCATTCCACGACGAACACTGCTCATCTGCCTGAAGGCAATGTGAACCTTCATCTGGGAGGAATTTCACCTCACCACGTAGGCATCGGATCTACAATGACAGATAGTGCTATACAGATACAAGGATCGGCTGGTGTTACTGTCGGAACTAATACTCTTGTTGCAAATGGAAGTGCGTTAATGGTCCAGAACGGCGGGAACATAGGTGTGCTTAACCAGCAGCAGCAACAAAGACTACAATCTCAGAATATTGCTGTAGACAAACAAAACGCACCCCAACTTTCTCAACAGCCCTCGCAACAACAGTCACAACCATCTCAGCATCAGCTTATATATTCAGGCTCTCCGATGCCTCAAGACATTAACATGCTTCGAATGCAGCAATTGTATGCCCAACAACAACAACAACAACAGCAAGCAAATTCACAACAGCAGCAACAACAACAGCCAAATCAACACCAGACTCAGTCACCAGTACCTCAACAGCTTCAACAGCAAACACATACTCAATATCAAACACCTCCACCTCCACGATTGGAGGACCAGAATTTGAATAAGACAGTTGTACATCAACAAATGCACCAAAGACAACAAACTCAGTTTATCCCTGTATCATCTAGTGCAAGCAATATCCAGTTGCAGCATCAACAGACTCAACAGCAACTTCAACAGCAAGCGTCTCAACAGTTACAACTGCATCAAATAGCCCAAACTCAGCAGACTCAGCAAATGTCATCAGAAGCGTATGGAAACCGGCAACAACAGACCATAGTTGCTCATCAGAATTTGATTCAAATGCAACAGCAACACCATCAGCAACAACAGCAGTTACATCAGCAACAAACTCCACAACCCCAACAGCTTCCTCCTCCGTCTCCTCAGCAACATCTTCAAAATCAGCATATTCAGTCTCATCAACAGCTCCAGACTCAGCAGCAAATGCAGTCGCAACAGTCTCAGCAGTCATCGCATCCTCCCCCACCCCCATCGCAACAACAGCCGCAACAGCAACAGACATTGCAACCTCAATTTGTGGCAGGCGCAAATCATCAAATTACAATTACTAGCTCTCCAAATGGTAATGGCAATACCATCATGATTCAGCCTCAAAGAACACCCCCATGGCAGAATCGAAATATTTCGAATGCAAGTACAAGCAGTACAAATACAGCCGTTATGACGGTGCATTCTCATCACCACTCACCTGTTGTTGCATTATCGCCTCAACCAAATCAACCTCAAGCAGTTGCTAATAATTCTAATTCGGGGACTAGTTTACCTTCTACAGGATTTGATCGCGTGCCACCCCTCCATCATCACACTCCTCCACCTCCTGTTTGGCCAGAAGATCCTGGTCGCAAGAAGCAGAAAGCAGCAAGCAGTAAAGCAAATTCTGCGACCAAGAAACAACGTCCTTACAACCTCGTAGAACACCAACAGCAACAAAGAGTAAATAATATTATCGGGATGGTTGGGATTCCTACAGGAATCCCAGGGTTAGTAGGAACAGTGGGAGCTGGAGTTGAAATTCAGAATCCAGGACCATGTCCTAATGTAGACGTTCGTCAAATTCCTCCTGAACATAATCGGCCTCCTCCTGGAACATACCCTGGTGGAGCAGGAAACAATATCCCATCATTTATGGAAGATCCAAGTGGATATCTTGCTCAACAAACTGCTCTGTTGAACAGCACAATTTCCCGTCAAACGGGCGTGAATCCTGTCAGCAGCGGAACCAGTTTTGTGTGCAACAGTCCAGCCAGGAATACAGTCTCTGAGCAGCCAACTCAGTTATTGATATCTCAGCAGCAACAGCCAACGCAATTGCAAATGCAGCAACAACAACATATTTCTCAGCAAGTACCTACACCAATCTCTTCACAATCGCAAACTCAACAGATACATCATCTTCAACAACAAAGTATGCAAACTGCAGCCCATCAGATACAACTGCAGCATCAAATGTCCCAACAGCAGCAACAACAGTCACAACAGCAGACTTCACAAGTAGCTCAGCAAAATCAAACTCAACAACAACAACAACAACAGCAGCAGCAGCAGCAGCAGTCGTCAGTTGTATCAGGTGTGGTGGTGAATTTGCCTACATCCTGTTCATCGCCCACTGTAGTTGGAGTTCCACTTCCAAGTAACATACTTTTGCCTAATGCCAAAGGAATCTATACTACCAGAAGTAATGCTGCTGTAAATGGCTCTCCTCAACACTCCTTAATCTTCACCTCTCAGCCTCAAAATCTACTACCTCTACAAAACTCAGGGACATACACTATGCATCCTGCCCCACATCTCCAACCTGATAGTAGCGTGGTTACTGATGCCAACACTGAAGCTCATGCTGGGTGCCAAGGTTGTGTTGGAACCATTCATCAACATCCTATTGTTTCTGAAGCAGCTGCAATATTATTTCACCAGCAACAACCTCATCAACAGCAACCTCAACATCAGCAGCAACCACCACCACCTCCAGCACCTTCACTTCAGCAGCAGCAACCTCAACAAAGTCAACAAGCAGCCCAGCAGGCTGCTCAGCAACAGTCTCAAACACCTCAGCATCAATCACAGCAATCATCTCAAATAGTTGGCCATGAGCATGGTGCTGTAAATAGAAGTCATAGCGAGACTAATGAATTTAAAAACCATGAGATGACTTCTAATTCTTTAACGCCTTCGCCTGATGAGAGTCCTGTAACATCCTCAACTTTCACTGATCAAACCACTGTATCACAAAGAAGACATCACCAAACAAGTGCGAATGATACTAGAGGTCCAATTCAAGGGGGTACTGTCAGTACAAGTAATGGTTCGCCACTGATAGAGAACTTCAATGGAAGTACTATTACTGTTATACCCCAACCAGAATCATCCCCTGCCTTATCTTCCTCATCCTCAACACCAACTCCCCCGTCACGGCCGGAAACAGCATCTAGTACCAATGGTGCTATTTCGTCGTCATCATCTCCCTGTGCATCTTCTTCATCAACTGCATCATCACCTTTTGCTGCTCCAAGTGGAAGTCCACCATATACATATGCTACAGTGTCATACCAACAATCACCTCTTATTAAAAATGATACAAATACAGTGGTTTATTCTACTTCTGCGGCTACCATCAGGCAACATAATAACACTAGTAACAGTAATAATAACAATAATTCGTCTCATAGTAATGCTCGATCTACAAATGAAACTTTCTGTCACCATGTTCTTGATCAAAGGATGACTCCAGTTTCCTCTGCCAAATTCATCACTTCAGCTAATGGAACTTTACATGCAATGGTTACAACAATGGCAAGCGGTCACACTGTCAGCAGCAATACAATTACTTCAGTTTTAGCAGGACGTACAAACACTGCAACTGTCTCAGTTGGAAGTCCAGCCCCTACATCAGCTCCCAATGCACTGCCATCATCTGCTATGTCTGCAGCACCTGTGTACACAAGTCAAACAGCTGCTATTGTTTCTATTACACCAAGCCTTCCAAATTTGCAGCAGCAGCAGCAACAACAACAACAACAACAACAACAACAGCAGCAGCAGCAACAACAACAACAACAACAACAGCAGCAACAGCATCAGCAGCAACAACAGCAGCATCAATTACAACAGCAGCAATTGCAACAGTTACACCAACAGTTGCAACAACAACATGCTCAGCAACAGTTGCAACAACAGCAGTCACATACTCAATCTCAACAGCAGCCACATTTATCAGTGCAACAAACATCGCACCAATTGCAACAACACATTCAACAACATATAGCACCTGTGACAAAGTCCCCATTGGAGATGGTTCAAAGTGTGGTGAGCAGTATACAAGTACCACAAAATATAATGAGCAATGCCTCTGTTCATCAAGCTCAGGCACAACACCACCAGCAGCAACAAGCACAGCAACATCAACAGCAGCAACAAGCACAACAATCGCCTCAAGGTGCCACACAGGCAATCATAAAGCAGTCTGGAGCACATGGTCTTCCTCCTGGCCACATACTTGTCTCTTCTGGTGGACAACTCATAATGGCAAATACTGGCAATGTTGTAGCTGCTGGACCAGCTGCAAGTATAATGGCTCAAACTCATCAGTCATTGCCTGCTCAATCAATGGGCAAGCTCCCTGCTGTTTCAGCCAATAATAATGGAGCCACCGTAGCTACCATGCCCCCAATGTCTGTTTCTCCCATGGTAACAAGTGTGACAGCTGCTGTAACTCAAGTGATACCAGCTGTAGGTGTAGCACAGCAGGTTCTTGGACAGCCCACAGTACTTGTGAACACGTTATCTACTCCTTTGCTGATACAACCAAGTGTAATGACCATGGATGGCATGCAGAATACCGTTCAGATTCCTCATTTAACTGTTGCAGGGAATGTTATTCATCATCAGCATCCTCATCAACAGGGTGGTCAATTGGTTGAAACGGTTTCACAAGAACATGGCTCAAGGACAGTAGCAAACAACTTCATACAACGAGCTGGACCCCAACAAGCTCAACTACCTCTTCTGTCTCCTGACCCATCACATCAGATAACTGCTGCTGGCAGCAAGAAAAAAGGAACCAAAAAGCGGAAAGTTTCTCCTCAGACAGTCGCATCAATGTTACATATTGCATCTCAACAGAATGCCTCAACAGGATTAGTTGTTCAGCAGCATCAACCATCTGCTCAGCAACAACAGCAACAGAATTTCTCCCAGCAGAGCTTTACGGTATCTGGTCCAGCCCAGAGTTTGACTGCTGGTCCTATGTTGCAAGCTCTTACAATTGTGCCTGGAAAAGCGGGAGCACCTGCTCAGATTTTAATGAATGGCCAACCTGGAACAGCAACCGCAGCTACAACTGGACATTTTGGCACTCAACAAATCATTGCTACTTCAGCAACTTCGCAACCCACCCAGCAAATCAATTTATTGCAACCTGTAAATCTTCTCAATGGTGCAACTGGAGTCGTGACTCAGAATTTCCCCACATTCCAACAATTTATTGTGCCGGGTTTAGGTGGAATGGTAATGGCAACAACAGCTGATGGCACCACAACGCTTCTTCCGGATACAACAAATCTTGGAGTGCAACTACAACTTCAAAATGTGAATGGACAAAACATCCTTACTCCAGTACAGAATCATCCTAGTAACAATACTGTTTTTAGTCATCCAGCTGCAGCGGGGCAGAGCATTCTGGCAGCAGGGCCAGCAGGCATGGTGATTCGCACTCCAGCAGCGACTGCTACAGGAAATAAGATAAGTACTCATACTGGAGCCTCTGCTGGTGGAAGCCCTCAGTTCTTAGCAACAGGATCCCCAAATCAGTTTTTAATGAATGGTACGGCATTTAGTGGACAACTCAGCCCTCTGGTTGCTAGTGTCAGTCCAAACCAGCAAGTCTCCTTCACAACAACCTCCCCAGGCACGCGACCAGCTGCTCCTGGTCCCACTCAGCACCCACCCCAGCAAGAGTTCATACAGTGTGGGCAGATGGGTCAAACATTGGTTGTTCCCTGCACTGTGCCCACATCAACAACACAGAACCATCAGAATACAACTGTTGTACAACAGAACACCACTATTGTACAACAGCAGACAACAATGGTGTCAAATAATCAGCAGATAGTTGCAGGCCCTCAGCACTTTGTGCAAGGAGCTAGTGGAAACAATGCTAATAATGTGACTGCTGCTCTAAATGTGAATCAGAATTACATCCTGAGTAACAACAGTAACAGTAGTAGCAGTGGAGAGAAAGTCCATCAGTCAGTGCATCAGAATGTCAGTCAGACAACCATATCCTCAAGACAAATTGTGACCACTCAGCCTCCTCAAACACATGGACCTCCTATGATGAAACATTCTGTATCCACACAAACTGCTGTCAATCAAAGTGTCCAAGCATCAGCTTCTGCTGCAGTTATGTCCAGTGCACTTGTTGTCACAACTAACAATACTTGTCAAACTTCAACAACCAGCAGTTGTTCAGGAAGCCCTCCAGACACCACAACTCATAGTCCTGTGGATCCAAGTGTAGGCATTGATGGTGGTCATCCTCAGAGTCCTACTGCGGACACCACAACTCATTCAACAGGTGTTGGCAGCACTGATGACAGTCTGTCTTCTCCTTCCCCATCATCTTGCACAGTCACAGGCTCTTGCAGTGATGCATCTGGGCGTCAACAGACGCCTTCACAAGTAGCCATGCCAATGGTGCATTGTGTCTCTAGCAGCAATGAGCAAATAGAGGCTGTCATATCAGAACAAACAGAATTTGATTGGAATAACAGCAAAGTGTTTGTGAATCCAATTACAGCAGATGGAGACAATAGTAATAATCAGTTCACTAACAAATATCTTACTGGGGGTGCAGATGTGGTTATTAGTGTGGGACAACAAAGTCATCAGGGTTGTGGGGATAAAACAGCTGCGGGAGTGTTTGTAGAGTCTTCAACGGTTGCTGCTGGTTTGGGAATGGCAGCTTTTGGTGACCTGGCCAAGCAGCAAGAAGTAGTAAGCACAAGACAAATTTTTGAATTTACCACTCCTGAGCTCCGAACTAATGATGGAACTAAATTGGGTCCTACAATCAACATCACCACTGTGGAGAGATCAATGAAGAGAAAACATGGTGATTTATTGATTATGGATACCCATACAAAAGAGATTCACTTTGATGATGATGAAGGTATGTTTGTCTAAAATATTTAATTTAGTATTTACATTTCTTTTTGAAAGAATACTTAGGAAAGAAATAAGTAATTTAGAAATCAGCTTTGAATTTCAAGTACATTCTGTATTAATCTTCGTTAGTAATTTGTAGTAACTTTTTTTTTTTTTTTCCAATAATTTGTCCATATTTTATTGACTCCAAAAGACAAGATAAAGTTAATGTGATACTCTGCTTCCGTATCTCAAAAGAAAGTATTTGATGATCATTAAAAGAACATTTCCTTCATTTTCTGTACCTAAATGTGTCAAGTAATGTGGAATTTTTCCAGTTGAAATATTAACAAATCAATTTGATTGTTGCATGAGCATTTGTTCTTCTAGAATTTTGTTATTGCCGTTTTCAGTGGAAAAATGTAAAAATAGATTTTTGTGTTTATATTGATTGTAAAGAGATGGTATTTCTATTGTGCATGAGTATTTTTCATTTTTTTGATGGTGTTTATTTTATTTTTCTTGCTTTCACTGCATTCCTTACTATGCATGCTAACCATCAGGCATTCTTCCTTTTCTGTCCATTGAATGTTAGTAATGGGTGTCAAGTTTTAGAAAATTTACATTGTTTAAATCAGTCTTTGTGATGTTTTAAAAAAATTGCATTTTAACAATCACTGTTAAGTAGTTATTTTAAAGTCAAACACATTCTTCATATTTATATTTGTAGTTAGTCTGTATGTAAAAAATATGAAATCTTGATGAAGATCAGTTTCATCAGTATGTAAACATTTGGTAAGGTAAGTGAGACTCAAAATATTACAGTCTCCTAGAAATTCAAATATATACAGGTGCTGTCCGAGCTGTGACAAGGTATACTTAGTATCTCAAATTGATTAGTATTAGATGTGATTTTATTTTTCATTAAAACATGCCCCTTTTGAAGACTGGAAAATTCAATTCCCTGTCTGTTAATTTCCTCCTGTTTTTCTTTTACCATTTTGTCTCATTGACATTCAAACTCCTGAGTTTGGCAAATTCTTTTTTTGTCATCATTTTGCTGTTACCATTTAGATTCAAGATCAAAAGGCCAATTGCATGTTGAGCACATCTTCATTACCTCTGGGAGGAGGGATATTTTTCAATACCTTGCTCTTACCCGTTTTCCACATGCATTGTTAATGCTTCTGCTTTGAAACATTGGTACTTTAAGCTCTCCCTGCTGCTTATTTTAAACTTTCACAGTGTGTTGTGTTATTCTTTAGTCTTGAAATTAATGCTAAAGAATATTTGAAGATCATATATTAAACAGTACTAGGGCCGCTGGTGAAGTTTTGGTGTGGGATTGCACAATGCTCTTGTAAGACTTGCTTACTTTGGTCACACAACCGCTTTAATTTATTTGTTTTACCAGACTAACTGCATCTACTGAATCATATATTTCCCCTTTTTTGCTGTTTTGTTGAAATCTTCTGTTAATCATTTAAAGAAGTTAAACATTTCAAAAAGTCACTTTCACCATTAGATGAAATAGCTTAGCATGTTCACTTTGACGTTACCCACTATCAAAGAAGACACATAACAAAGGATTATAATAAAAAAGACAATAATTCAAACCCTATGAAAAAATTTATTTTCATTCACTCCTCTAGAACAAAATAATGTTCTGGATTACAGAAATTTCTTTCAAATTGCCTTCTTTGTGGTGTGTCATCTCTGGAGACATAATCACTGCTTTTTGACTAGTGGTATCTTCTTTTATTTGCCTCTGTATGGTGGAATTATGTGGTATATGCCTCAACTGTTTCAAGAAAATTGATGTTATCTCACTGGATTCTCAGAGTATTAATTTTAGTGACAATTTTGAGAAACAGTTGCTTGAATTCACACCATAGAGAGATATAATTACCAGATAAATCAATGTGGGTGATAAGCAGTTGGTTGGCAGACCTTACAATCAGCCCCTATATGTCATACGCAGACCCATCGTCAGGCTCTTCAACTGACAAGGGGAAGGTGAGCGAGACGAATCAGACTCAGGAAAAACATGGTGGCTTCTCAGAAGGGGACTTGGTGTGGGGTGCAGCACGAGGCTGCCCGGCCTGGCCAGGTAAACTGATGGGCCATGCCTCTCCGGGCAAGGTATTGGTGCGCTGGTTTGGAGGCGAGCGCACTCTTGCCCAAGTAGATGCCAGCTCTCTCAAGACGCTGTCTGAAGGCCTCGATGCTCTCCACAGGGCCAGGAAGAAGTGCCGGAAGTGAGTCCTGCGGCGTTTCTCCTCCCTATGTTTGACAGCACCAAGAACTCCCCCAAACCTTTAGTTAAGGCCTGCACAACTCTTGTAGAAGAGCATGTGCCGAATTTTGAAGTTGGAATTTACCAAAGGCTATATAGCTCAAATTAGGGCATGCTTGGACCACAAAATTCAAAACAGCATTGAAAATCATTGAGGGGCAAAAAATGTTACATTCATGTAAAATATTCATATAAATCAATAAATTAATAGTGCTCTCATCTCCCTCTAATCGATGTACAATGAAGTGCATATGAAATATGCCTTCAAAACATTTAGATCTAACAGATAATAACTTTTAATGAACCTCCATCATTTAAATTTTTTTTTTTTTTTTAATAAAGGGGATGAGAGAACACATAAATCTTCTGGTGTGAATTTGGATGGATCCACAATTATATTGCAGGCCTTGTGACAAGTTGTGCAGGCCTGCTTTAGCCTTTAACACTGAGTCATTTCCTCATCTTATATGTATTTCCACTAACAATAGCACAGCACACTCCTGAAAAAACTGATCTTCCTCAAATGAACTGATATTAGTCCTAATATAACCACTATAGTATATATATATATATATATTTCCTTTTTTGTTTCACAAGGTAGAGTATAGTGTCAGAAACTTGTTCTAATATTGTCATTTTAATTTGAGCATAGAAGGATTTTTTTTTTTTTTTTTTCTTTTTTTTTTTGCTAATAACTTGGAGAATATATACTTTCAAAAATGTATACATTTGGTTTCAAACTTTATTAGTAGCTTAATTTTGGACTTCATTAACCTAATTTTGTTTGATGGTGTGTGATAGACAATTTGTTTTTAATTTGTCTGTAATTGCTAGATATGTGTAGTATTGTTCTCTTGTAACTGGTGAACATATAATATTTCATTATTCAGCATGGGTCAGACCAATTTTGTTGTATTTGTAGTTAGCATAATTGTAAATGTTTAGATTTTGTAGTATTGCCTTGCTATTTCATTAACGTAGTATCTTTTTTGTATACTTTTATACCATGCCTTCTGTGTAATTGCAAAATTTTGAATAATTAATTTCAAAATAATAATATTTTCTTTCAGAAGTCGTAAACTGAATAGCCAACTTCAAAATGCCATTCAGGAAGCAATGCTGGAGTTGGATCGTATGAAAGAGCAACAGCAGCTGCAACAGCAACAGCAGCACCAGCAACAGCAGCAACATCAACCGCCACAACAACAGCAGCAACAACTACAGCGAGATCAACAGCAACCATTGCCACCTCCTGTAGTCGCTGAATCTAGTATTGTAGAGGCAACTTCAGAAGCATCAAGTAGGTCAAGAAGAAATCATCGGTGACCTTCTTATATTTGCTTTAGTCAGCAAAACACCCTTCAAAATGTGCAAATAGTGATATTGAATGTAATAAGTTGTGAAGGTCAGACACAATAAAGAAACAGGAGGCAAGGAGGAGATACGAAATGTATATTCTTTCTTGCAAAATATTATTGTAGTAAGTCAGTATAGTAGAAAGTCATTTTCTGTATGTTTTATTTCTTTTTTGTATAGTTGATTTCTAAACAAAATATTGTTCTTCAACATCATACTTTTCTTTGGTATTTTCAAGTCTTATATTCATAATTATACAAATCAGATAAATTATCTGTGAATATTCTGTATATTGTATTTCAGAACCAAGAAATTATTGTATTGGGCTAAGGTGTAGTTAAATATCTGGGAAGAAATTTATCTATTGTTTGAATCCCAAAATGCTTTGTTTTGTTTCTTTCGTTGTTTCTGTTTGGCTTTAAAATTTTTTTTTTTTTTATCTGCCTGTTGACTCTTGTCATCACAAATATGTACATAATGAAGTAATTTCATCATTGATCACTTAGTGAGTCAGCAAATAATATTTGTGATGATTGGTGAGGATAAATAAACATATTTAAGAAATATCTCTGTGAAATTGGTATGTACATATTGGTTTGATGCAATATAAATCTCTGTTCAATAATTTCTCTATTGTAAATCTTCTATTTATGAACCAATGGAGAAAAATTATAATTTTCATTTAGAGACATGGGACATCAGAAAACACATCTAAAATGATATTTGCAACTATTTTTGAGAATGTCTTCCTGGTGGCTTCACATCTCCTGTTTCTTTATTGCTACTACAAAGGAAAGTGCTTGTGTCAAGTTGTGCGTGTGTGTTATCATTGGATTGTATTCTCTTTGAAGGTGTTGCTGACATTTTGACACTGATTGGGCTTTCATAAATGACAAAACTGCATCAAAACGTACATGTATAGTGCAAAGAAAGAGTATTTTAAAATGAACGACATAGGGATTTGTAGCAGCTATAACTTTAATTCATTGAATTTTTTTGTCTGTCTGCACAAACATCTTTTGTTTCTAGTCATTGTAAATGATTGTTTATATGAATATATATGTACATGTATATGAAATGACCAAATGGCATAAAAATTAACTAATGAGCATAGACAATAATTACAAAAGGTAACAGTTTGATAACATGGAGGAGGTTTGGACCACTTTTAACTATGTTTTGAATAGCAGTCTAGCTCCAATATGGTGTAGATTTAATTTAATTCTAAACTGATTTGTAATCTCTGTGTTATGATGTCTGTTGATGGCAAAGCATTAGATGCTTAAACTGTTTGTAGATAAATATGTATATTGTGTGTGTATGTGTGTGTGAATGTTATCACAAATAATTTCTGTTCTCAGAAATGTGAATTCAGGGTTGGAAGAAACATCGGGTATTGTTAAGTGGCATTGATAGAATTATTACATGGCCATACTACAGTATATACAAATATATACTACATATTTTCATTACGTAGGATTGTATAAGTCATAATGATGTACAGTTTAAGGTGTAAAATTAGTCATCAATAGACCTCATATTCCAAACCCTCACATTTCTTTTCATATTGTAGGGATTATTCCCAGGTAGGGTTGATTGTATTTTTAAGAATTAATTTCAATGCCATACATGTAATCTTTCAGATAAGCTTCAATATTTCTTGTATATAATGTATAGATATTTTATTATGATGTATAATGAATTTTTATTTGTAAAATATGCTTTAACATGGGTGTATTGTAAAATGGCACAGACAAGCCCTAATATTAATGAATGTGAATGGTGAGAAAAAATATTTTTATTTATACAGAATATGTTTTAATGAATCACGCATTTCTGTGTGTAACAGTGATGCATTGTAGGAATTTAACATCACAGACTCAAGTCCATAATATAGTTCGAAGCATTATAAATAACTTTGTAATTTTTTATGGATTATTTTTACCAAGCACACCCTGGTTCATCTGATATTCTTTTTGTTGTATTTATTGAAATACAAATTGAATATACTGTGCTTCCTCAAACTGTGTATGTAGCTTCCAGAATAATATTATAAAAATAAAATTAGTCTGCATCATTAATTGCACAGTGTATATATCACTCAAATACTTATTTGTAGTGTTCCTTACCGATACTTTTCACAGAATTCATGTATCTTAAATGTTGAAAGATTTATGCTATAATATGCATGCGTACAGTATGTATGCATCATGTCCCGTACCTCTGTATCAGTTTAAATGTCACCAATGTATGAAATCACAGGTGGTTATATCTGTAGATAATCAGTGTGCACATAGTGCAAGTTACAATATCACCTCATGCTTATATGATAATCAAGCTAGTGGGATTTATTTCAGTGGCCTTGAAGCAAAGTAGTACTGCAATTGACTTCTTAATCATCTAGTAATTTGCAGTAGTCTGGACTGTGGTTATTCTATGTCCATTTGCCAAGTGAGGAAGCACTGTAAACATTTTGTATAAACATGGAATTATTTTAAAGAAACAGCTAGCACTGCATGCTCCTCTTTTAATGAGCCTTACCTCCATTTTCATTTTCATACTGCAAATAGACTGCTTGTGCTGGTTTTGAAGCAGCTGAAGTTTATTTCAGCTCAGATTTGTAATACATTACTTAATTGTTGTGTTTGTAAACACATAATGAACTAATACTGTGTAATTTGATATTTACATTTTAAGGAGTAAAATAATTACAATTAAAATTTGTACTGGCTGTCCCAAGTTACTTACATGAATAGGGTGTTACAACTTTTATTCAGTATCATAAAATGGAAATGACATTGTCTCTTTTATTTCTTTTATTGATAATATAACATTAACTTGGAACTGGAGTAATAGTAATGCATATTCATGGAAAAAGGTGCACACATGTCAAATATTATTCACTAATAGGCTGAAAATTTGGCACAAATCAAATTAACTTTGCCTAATCCAAAAATATAGTGATACTTGAAGGAATTTAATTTTACAAGCAGTATTCTTTAATGCTATTCCCCTGATTACACAGTAGCCTGTAGGGATGCAACTACCAAAATAATATGCCACATTAGAAATGTCTGTGTACATTGACCAATTTGTACCTTAGCTGATTCTCAGTTATAAACTGAATAAAAGTTTTTAATTACAAAAATTAGCTTGTTCTTTATTGTCATGAGCCTCAAGTTTACAGTACCCGGTGTGCCACTGAATTATATGTTTTAAGTGCGCAGGATAATGAAAATACAAGTCTGTGCATTCTACATTTTACTTGTAACATACCTCGTGAAAAATATAAATTACAAGAGTTGTACACTAATATTTTGTTGTCTTGTAATTTGGATATCTATGCTTGTAAGTACATGTAATGATGGATACTTGTGTTTCTCCATAAATGTGGTTATGTTTTACTCTAGTTCATGTTTTGTTTCATATTATTTTCAATTCCATATTTCCTTGTAGTTTGAATTATCCCATTACCCGTTGTTTTACTTGCAATTTTATTTAACAAAAAATTTGTAGTATCTTGAATATAATGGGTGGTACATGATCACTGTAAATTCAGATCATCAAATAATACAAATGAATGGATTTATATAAGAAAAGTTCTGGTGTGTAGAGTTTACTGCGGAAACTGTGGGCTCAACAGCAAAAGTCAATCACATTTATGAAATCAAAATTTGTTAATATACTAGTTTCCTTATTTAATGTAAAAGTTCTTAATTTTGTGTTTTTTTTTTTATTTCTACAGTCATTTCTGAGATCACGTAATTTTTTTCCATTTCTTATTACTGATACTTTTCACAGCACAGAATGCACAAAATGTCAGTATTATGTTTCTCATCATTCTTTAAAAATTAAAATTTGAGACTAACTTCTATGTGTCAAGTATTTGATCTCAGTGATACTTCAAAATATTTTTTTCTTCTACTTTAATATTTCTTAGAAGGATGTCCATATTCCATTAAATTTTTGTATTCAGCTTTGCTGAGAGAAATACATATACCTTATGTATGACTATGTCAAAAAATGCGTTGCCACACACTTGTTTTATTGTTTATATTTGTGACTTTAAAAAGAGAAAATGAATTAAGCATGTCTAAACCAGTACACTGGAGCTGATATTCATAAATATTGTTCTTCAATAATTAGTGCTCCCATTTCATGACCAAGTGATTATCCGGCTTGTTGAAGCTTGAATTAAGTGAGTGTAAGGAAGTTGCATCCCAAAACAGAAATCGAGTACCATTTGTCAATTCCAACATTAAAGACTTTAGAACTTCGTACCAAATATATACAAGCGAACAATGCATATAACTGTCACATAAAATATTGAATAATGATAACCCAAATGAATTTTGTGTAGTCTTTAATTACACAATACATCAAGCATTCAACCTTTTTCTAACAAATTAATTTCAATTAGAACAGGGAGACCACTTGCTGGGAAAAAACAAGGAGTTTGTAGAAGAATCATTAGAAGTGAAAGAACATTTTGAGAGAGTTCTAAAACCAAACATTATTACAGGATTATAATAATAATCATTTTTGCTCAGTTTTTATTTGGTGAGAAAATCTTATTAATTTGTACTTTTCCACAGTAAAATCGGAGAGTTCACCAAGTAGTATAATTTAATGTTCTCTTTAAATGGTATGAAATTACTAATCTTTCCAGGGGGAAAAAATTAAAATGCACTGGAAAATCAGGGAAATTTGTTCCAGGAATTGAGTGGCCACCCTGTAGAAAAGTTTCTCACTATTTCTTCATGTTCTTAAAGATTAATTTTATGTGAAATAGGTTTATATTGTTCATATAAGACACTAGAATTACAGTGAATTTCCCTGAATCCAAAAAAGTTTTATTCAATCTCGACTATGTTTCAGGCTTTATTAAACATATTAATCAAACTACAAAGTGTTTGCCGTATTTAATAAAAAGAAGGCATTAAATTCCTCAGGAGGTTGGTAATAGAGAATTAAAAATCTGAACCTCACGAAACATTGCTGAGAAAATCACAGAATAATATGATACATCAGGGTCCTTGGAACAAGAAAAAGTAGTAGTGGAGAAAACACATTCACATAAACTCTATGAAGAAACATTTATTTTGTTATAGTCACATTTAATTGATGCTTAAAAATTACCTCAAAGACTTGTATAATTACATTTTATAAGAATGTGTATATTTTTCTTTTTATATTCAATATTAAAAGTGTGAAAGTAAAATTTTAAAATAAAAGTAATATTAAATTGGGGTTACAAGAAATATTTGAGAGAAACAAAATGTTTGTCTAGGAAGTCATATTTCATGTATTGAGTAATTTCATATGTTGGTTACATTCAAATTTGTGTGGTACAAAACTGTGAATATTTCATCATACATCAGTATATCAAGTGTACAATAAAATACTTCCTATGTGAATATAAATGTACTTCCTTTTTCTTGTAAGTATAAATTTCCTTTTTGACACATATGAAAAACATTTTCCTACATTGGCCTGAAAATACATGTTCTAATGCGAGTCATTCATATACATTCATGATTTGAATACATAATAAGAAGAAACACATCAAAGATTTGATTTGATTTCTCAAGTTTTCATAGTGCGCCTTTTCCGTAGTCCTCCCTAAAGTTCAGAGAAATTCGATAAAATCAAAAGTATTTGTGATCAATCTCTGAAATACTTGTGCAATATAAGAAGGCATTGGTTTCAGAACCAAAGTTTTATCTTTTATGAAATAATGTAGGTTATTACCTGTAAAATGTATTAGCAATATAAAGATTCAATAGAGAAAACTTCAATAGATGACTCAAATTATCACTATCCCTAGTACTATTTCTACAAAATGATAATACTCTTGATATGATGTGCATGAAATTGAAGGAATTGGTATCAATATTTGCCATTGTTCCTTGAATTCTCCTTGTAACGTGTTGTACTGACTTTTAATTTCAGATCTTCCTCAATGTTCCATTGAGTGTTGGCATGTGAATTACTCCACCCACAGAATTAAAAATGAATACACACACACTTAAAAATCATGTAATATGACAGTTTCTAAAAGAAACAATGTACTTATACCTCAATTTTAGCAGCTTGATGTATACAATATGCCTTTATTGTGCCCAGCATGTTCATATCGTGTAAGAGGGTAATGCAAGAAAAGGAAGATTTGCTGATGTTCCCAGGATTTAAGAGTATCCTTCAATTAGAGTTGTGAAAATATATGCACTGATAGAATCCACAGATATTTTGTATATTATAACAACAGAATCAAGAAGACTGAAAAAACATGTTGGTCAAAAGTGTAATTTTTTAATTAATATTTGCTTCACTGGGTGATGTGAAGACATTTTGAGATAATCCTCTGTCATGTGTAATTCATTAGATAGAATCTTTTATAGAAATATTTTCAGATTCTTTTTTAGTTCCTATTTACACGAAATGCGAGATCTTGATGTCTTTGACCACCATTTGAAATGATTACAACTATCAACTTTCTGTAATGTAGCAATTACAATAATATTATTGTGTGATGTGACTTAATTAGTTTAACATCAAATGTATGAGAGTGTAAAAAAATGTGTAGTTAGTTCATGCTTTGACCTATTTACTCTTGTGACGAATAGTCTTCAGTTCAGATTCCATCAAACACTTTTTGAAACATTTAGAGACAAATGGTTGACAAATATAATTGAGAACTGATGGATGTGTTATAGAAAGGTCAAGATAAGATTCCTTTGGAAATTTGGTTTTCATGTACGTATGTTGCATGATCGCTAGTATCTGTCTCTATCAGAACATATATAAATACGTATATTACCTTTGATTAGGTTGTTGGGTAGATTCAAGATTCTTGCCATGTCCTGGAACCAGATGATGGTAATTCCAACAAAAAGATGGTGAAGCATGTCCTTTTAATTAGGTACAGTTCTTGTAATTTTGTGGTTAAAAATAAGGACATGAATTTGAAAACTCAACAAATTAGAGAATTTATTATTGCAACTAAAATACAATTTTTGGAATCATATCAACTTATGGAATGTATTTTGGCAATAATTCTTAAGTGGTTTGGTAAAAAGATTTGTGACAAGTAAGTTTCTATTTTAGACAGTGTTTGTAATTTTTTTTAAGGTATTAGATATCCATATATTTCATGACTTCATAAAAATTATTTTCCTCTTGTTTTATGTTGTTCCCTTGTAAAGAGAAGGGAATATTTATGTATGAATCTGTAATATGTTTGACAGATATAACCAATTTTTTATGTGTTAGCAATAGTCAAGTATTTTTAATTCTCAATTGCAAAAAGTTCAGGACAAATTTCAATTATTCAAAATTTCGAAATAAAATTATATCTGTTTTTTTTCCCCTCACAGGAAAAAGTTTGTTGCAGTTGATTGACAAAAGATGTGGATTTCTAGATACATCAACTTTTTTTTTGTTCTATGTGCTTAAAGAAAATATTTTTAGGGAGACATAAATTCTTCTAAATGGTAATTATTTAAAAATCTTTGTTATTACATAACTTATTATTCTCAGCCTCTCTCTCTCTCTCT